AGCCCGGCCCCCACCCCCGATGGAGGACAGCTCCAGCATGGCAGCAATGCTCTTCACACTGCCTGCACTGCCGGTGTCCACGCTGCCCGCCAGGTCGCTGGCCCGCCGTCGCTGGGCCCGGACTCCCAGCATGCCGTCCTCAGCCTCTGCTTCCAGTGCTGGCTCGTCAGCCATGTTGGCGCTGGCCAGGGCCGAGCTGGAGCGCTTGGGCGGGGGTGGCGGGGGTCCCTTCTTGCGGGGCCTCACGGCAAAGGACTGGCTGCGGTTGACGTTCTTGTCAGCGCCCGCCGGTGCCCTCACTGAGTGGCTGCGGCCCACGCGCCGCTGGACTGTGGCGTACGGCCCCGCTGCAGCCGGCACCAGCAGCTCGTCCCGCTCAGGCTCGCTGTCAGATGCTGCGTAGCGATTCAGGCTGTGGGCACGCTTCTTGGGCCGCCCTGGCTCCGCATCAGCCTCGGGAGGCAGGCACAGCGTGGGCACGGCGGCCTGCACAGGTGGGGGCGCAGGCCCCGGAGCAGTGGGCCCAGCCTCACCCTCCACAGGCTGGGGCAGCACGTAGGCGAAGCCACGGTGGGTGGGCGACTGAGGCAAGGAGCGGGGGGACATGGGTCGCTCCGTTGGTGGCAGCAGCTGTGGGGTGGGCTTCACCTTGGCTGTGGCCGGGGCTGGACCGTGAGGTCCCCCAGGGGCCTGGGGGGAACCTGGCCGAGCTTTGGTGGGTGTCTGGGGGGGCGTGAAGTGGCTGGCACCTGGCGGCAGGACCTGCCGTGGCTTGCCGGGCACTGGGGGCACACTGGCCCTCTTGACGCTGTGACTGTGGCGGCTAGGCCGGGCCTCCTTAAGCAGGGTGCTGGGGGCCGACCCTTCATCCAGCAGGTACTCCTGGCTTCGCGACATAGGGCTGCCAGGCCCAGGGGGCCCGTCACCCAGTAGCTCCTGGGAGCTGCTTATGTGCCGTGCCCGTCCACCCAGGCTGGGCTCCTGCCGCATGGTAGCCCTCGGGGTGGGCAGCAGGTGGTTGGAGGGCTTCTCGGCGGCAGCAGCCCCACCTTCTGCCGGGCCAGTCATGGCAGCCTGCAGCTCACCGCTGAGCTCACTGTCCTGGAAGGTGGTCATCTTAGGAGACTGGCAGTCAGCTGGGGCTGGCTCAGGTAGGGGTGGTGACTCAATAGCCATCACTTCGAGCGACTGGGGTGCCTTCCGGCGCAGGGGTCCCCCCTCGTACTTGGCATATTCTGCCTTCTGCAGCTCCGCCAGCTTCCTCACAGCCAGCATCAGCTTCTTTTGGTGTCCTGAGTGAGGCACAGGGGGCGGGTCAGGTGGGCTCCAAGGTGGGGGGGCTGGGGCTGGGCCTGGGGCCAGGGCCTCACCCAGCTTGGTGATGCCGATCTCCTGTAGGTCCTCCCAGGTGATGTCAGTGATGAAGTCGATGTTCTCGTAGCCGTTGTCCACCAGCACCTTGTAGTACTGGGCCAGGCCGATCATGGACAGCCACACGGCCAGATTAGCCTGTGGAGCAGGGACCCAGAGGGCAGACTGGGCTGGCTGCCCATCCCCTGCCGCCTACTTGGAGCTGGTGGAGGAGGGGCACTGGGCCAGCAGGGCACAGACAGACAGGAGGACAAACAGAGAGGCCGAGGCATCGGCACCAGAAGTGCCATCGATGCAGCCTCGGCAGGAAGCCAAGGCCAGCTCCTCAGCATGGCCACTGAGCACTGGTGTGCTACACAAGCAAACATGCAAACACACACACGGGTGACCCTATCCTCAGGACACCCTTCAAGGGGGCAGAAGAAGGCGCTTCCTTGCTTGGCCAAGCAGCCATGGGCACAGCACCCCAGGGTGATACACCCACAGTCATGGACACAGACACACCAGGCACGTATACACACACCCTGCACACCACACTCCTGGCCTCGCACGGGCACCGGCACCCTGTCCCACATCACGCTCACACTCTGTCTTCCCACCCACGCCAGACACGGCCATGCACGCACCACACAGCCATGTCACACAGCAGTCTGCATCAAGAACAACCCGATCGCTCCCTGAGCACCATCCAGGGGTCCACACACCTAGCTGGACATCACTCGTGCATACAGCAAGGCCAGACTGGTGAGACTGATGGGACCAGGTCATGCCCCTGGAAGGACCCCTGGGCTGCTGACTGAGTGGGCCAGGGCATGCACAAAACCCGTCGAGTGGCTTTCAGTGGTCACTGAGCACCTCTCCCATCGGTGCACAGGAGCCCAGAGCTCAGTGTGAGACCCAGAATGCCAGCTTCAGGTTGGGCAAGGCCCAGGGCCCACCTTCTCCAGGCCCAGAGCCTGTCCCACCATATGGGCACCTTCCCCTTAGGGCCAGCACAGGCTGTGGTGTTTGCAGGTAGCATGGAAAAGGGGGCGTTGGCTGTTGGCAGGGGTTGCCCATGCAAGGGAATGTGCGCACATGTGATTGTCAGGGTGCCTGAGAGTATTCAGGGCACACACACTGGGTGTGTACCCAGCAGTGTCTGGGTGCTTGCAGCCACATCCTGTTGATGTGGCCCCTCTGTCGTCCCTTCGTATATGAGGGGCAGTGCTTGAGGTGCAGGTGGCCGGGGCCCCTGTGTGGCAGCCTGTGTGTGGAGGGGGTCTTTGTGGGGGTGTGGAGGTGGGGAGAGGACACTCCTGGCTTCAAGCTCCCCTCACCCTGATGACCACTGGACAGTGGAACCCTCCCCAATGCCTGGGTTAGAGAACAGCAGAGGCTGTCCTGGCGGCTCCCTGCGGACTGTCCTCCACTCTCCTCCGGAGCCCCAGCAGGCAGGTGAGGGCGTAGCCAGGGAGGCCTTCTGTCCATCTGTCTGTCTGCCCATCCTGGGCCTGGCCTCCGGGGTGCAGGGGTCCTTACGGGTTTGTGTTCAGGCAGCCAGTCGGGGATGCTCAGACTGCTGATCTCTGCCGTGATTTTCTTCCGGTGGCCTGGCTTGGTGACACCGATGGCCGTGAGATCCTGGGCAGAGGGGAGGCCCGTCAGCAGGAGGCCAGGGCCAGTCTGTGGGACGCAGGTGACAGCCAGCAGCAGGAAGCTCACCTCGGGGGTCATGCGGCTGATGGTGGGCAGGTCGTAGCCGGCGCTGATGAAGTTGGGGGCGTAGAGCTGCAGCTGGAAGGCGGCAAGCCACTGGCCGACGGCCTCAGCGCTCTGGAAGACACAAGGCACCCCGCTGCAGGCTCGCGCCTGGCCGTGCCCCACCACACAGTGCCTCCTTCTCGGCTTGGCTGGCGGGCCGTGTCGCTGCTGGGTCCACTGTCCACCAGTCCTTCTGCAGCCGGGCCTGCGAGCCTGGCCCCAGCTGCTTGGTCTGCAGTGCCAGCTGCACCTTCTCGAGCATCCTCCAGCCCATCTGCCTTGTTCTGGGGTCTCCACCAGGAGTGTCCGGTGCTGTCCACGTCACGGCCTCCCTGGCCTTCCCCCTGCTTCTGCACCATCTCAGGGAGGCAGGAGGTGTGGCCCCATGGGAGGGGTATCTGGGGAAAGGGGCCTCGGGCTGGGCGGCTTGGGCCGCCCCCGATTCCCTGGTAGGTGGGCCCTGTGCCCATAGGCAAGCACCTCACCTCCTCCATTGCACGGGAAGACTCAACCAGCAGCTCATGCCACCCCAGCACGCGGTGCCTGCACACACCACCTGCTTCACCCATGCACGCACTGAACTGTCTCACAACCATCCCTTCTACCTGCACACGCGCGTGCCCGGCTCACATTCACAGAGTTGCATTGTCACACATGTGCCACACACATCCTGCACGAATTATGTGCACACACACCTAGGTACAGCTGGCTCACACACGTGGCCTTCACAAGAGACAGCACGGTACACACAGCATACCCACACACAACACACACACAGACTGACAGACGGACAAAAGGCTCCCGACCCACTGTGGTCAGGCCAGGCTCGCTGCCTGGGCACCCATCAGATCTTAAGCCCTGCCACCTCCCCAGAGCCTGCCCTGGAGGCAGCCCAGGCCCTGTACCTTGCCCTCCGATGCCGGCTCTAGCTTCTTGGGTGGCTGCTCCCCATAGACCTGACCAGCATGGGCCGCTGGAGGCTGGGACCGGGCTGTACCTGGGGGCGAGAAGGGGTGGGGGACAGGGCTGCTCGGGGCCACTGCCCTGCTGGGGAGACACAGCTGCATTCTTGTTCTTACCTGTGGAGCCCTCTGGAGGCTTGACTGGGCTGTCCCCTGGGCTAGACTCTGAGACGGACTTCTGGGAGAGCACTGTGGCCAGGAGCTGCAGCCCGGAAAGACCAGCTTGCCAGCCTACTCCAGGACCTGACTTCCCTGGTTCCCTGGCCTAGGCCACCACCCCACCTACCTTGACACCTTCGGAGCCGGCATGCAGGGCATGGCTCCCACTGCCCCGGCTGCCTGCCATGCCACTCACACTGCTGCTTCGCTCCCCACCTGCCAACATTGAGAGAGCGTGATGAGGTCAGTGCCAGCCCTTGCCCCATGGTGGTGCTTTGCAGAAATACTGCTGCCCCCGCCCTCCAGGGGTGCCTGGCTCACCTGCAAAAGGCTTCCTCAGCACCCATATCTCTTCTGGTGGCGCAGAGGGCCCCAATGAGCTGCCTCCCTGGGGTGGGCTTGGTTCAGTGCCTGATCGGGAACCTGCAGGTGGAGCACAGCCCCCTGAGTCCTGGGCCAGTGGGGATGGGGGCTGGCATGAGGGGTGGGCAGGGCAAAGTTGACACAGCCACGCCTCTGCAGGGGAGTCACGCACCATGGCCTCCTCCTGCCCTGGCTGTCTCCAGGGAGCTGGGAGACCCTCAGAATATTTGAGAGCAGAAGAGTCTCAGAGGGGGCCAAAGTCAGGCATCCTGCAAGAGGCCCGTGTCCTGTGGGTAGGGGGGCTGAAAACTGCTAGAGGGTGCGACTTTCTCTGCTGGGCGTCAGGGGGCAGGTAAGCAGCCCCCTATGAGCCTGGGGCCAAGGCCTCATTCAGGAACTAGATGACCATGAGTGGGCTGGCCATACCTCCTAACTGGCCCCACTTATCAACCTCTACATCCTCTGTCAGAGGTAAACTGACCCTGGTCCCCTGAAATCATCCCATGGGGCATCACAGCCTGGACCCTGGGGTTTGTCCCGTACTCCTCTCCTTGTCCCCACTCCGCTCCAGCCTCGCTGGCCTCCTGTTTCTTAAATGTGCAAAGTTCGTTCCTGCCTTGGTGCCTTTGCATTTGAGGATCCCACTGGCTGGACAGCACTACCCATGACCAGTCCTGCTCACCTCAGAGCCTTCTGCAATCTTCTCTGCCCCATCTCAAGCAGGCCTCCACCCACACTCTGTGTCACTGATTGGCACGTTTCCCTCTGAGTTTACTTCACTGTCCCCTGCACACCTCCTACCCCAGGATGAACTCCGTGACAGCTGTCTGGGTCTCCATCTGGCCCTGGTGGCTGGCTCAGAACCCAGGCACTCGGCATACTGGTTGCCCCCTGCCTGCTGCCCAGGGCTGGGTGGGACTTGCCTGCTCGCTTGACGATAGCCTCGCCCAGTGAGGATGGGAAGTAGCCCACCCGGTCATTGCCCGTCCGGTTGTCATGGATACAGCCCTTCCACCGGCCATCAGGATGCTGCTCAAGAACCTAGCCAATGGATGGGGGGGTGCTCAGGGAGACACCCTCTTTTCTGAGTCTCCTGCCCGGTGCACCCCCTAGTTGCAGCAGGGGGTGTTCTGAGGTGAGCAAGCCCAGGTGCCACCCTATCCCTGCTCCAGCAGCTCCGGGGACCTCCTTACTGTGATGATGTCCCCGGCCTTCACGTTGAGGCTGGTCAGGTCATAATTGTTGCAGTAATCCTTGGTTGCCCGGACCTGCAGGGCCGCGGAGGCTTCTGGGGATACAGAAGGTGGATCCCCCAGTCCCATGCATCGATTCTGCCCGGGCACGGCCCCAGCCCCCCTGCTCTGCCTGGGCCCACCTCGCAGCAGCTGCTTGATCTCCTTGCTGGCCTGCGACGTGGTGAACTGGTGCACGATGTCCAGCGCCGTCTGGCTATAGGTGTTCCTCACGTGGGCATTGATCCCACTCTGCACGTGCAAGTGGGCGAGGCCCTGTCAGAAGCCCCCGTGGCCCTGCCTGGCCCCAGCTCCCCTGGCTCCCCGACTCACATCCAGTAGCAGCCGAACCACTTCTGTCTTCCCACAGAGCGCGGCCTCATGCAGGGCTGTGCCAGACTTGGTCTGGCGGTTAATGTCGATGCCGGCTTGGAGTAGGAGCCTGGCGGGGAGGCAAGACAGACAGGCAGGGCCTTCCAGCAGGAGCCCCCACCCCAGCACCCCCAAGCCAGGCCTCCGCTCCTGGGTACCCCAGCTTCTTGTCCTGTGACCCTGATGTTCACTGAGTGCTTGCTGAAGGGCCATACCCATGCTCACCCCTTCTAGCTGCCATCTTGTCCAGTCCCAATGTAGGTACTGCTGTGATGCCTACCTTATGGATGGGGAAATTGAGGCTCAGAAAGGTTAAGAGTCTCCATGAGGTCACCCAGCAGTGGCAGGGCCGGGATGGAGCCCAGGCTGGCAGGCTGTGGGAGCCATTCTCCAGCCCCTATAGTGCATCCCCCACTTGGGAGGCCATACCAGAGGCCTAACCGTGTCCCTGTAGCTCCCTGAGTGCTCCTGTCTTATCCCTAAGCCAGAAGCAGGAGCCCTGATCATCGGGATCCTGAGACCAAGACACCCTCCCCTGCACCAGCTGTACCTGATGATGTCAATGTGGCCATTCTTGGCTGCCAGGTGCAGGGGGCTGGTGCCGTTGGGGTCGGTGGCGTCCCCTGGCCGGGGCTCCAGCAGTGCCGCACACATGTTGCTGCTCAGGAGTAGCTGGACCACCTTGAAGGAGGGGTCACAGTAGGGGAGCCCGGGCCCGGGGCTATCCCCAACCCCCTGGGCCAGGAGGACAGGCAGAGGGAGCCCTTCCGGGCTCTGTGGGGAGACTTACCCCAACACGGCCAAACTCACAGGCCAGGTCCAGCGGCGTCTTCCCCGAGTTGTCCACCATGCAGGGGTTGGACTGGTGCTGCAGCAGCATCTCAGACTTGGGGGCCACAGGACACGGTCAGGCCCACGGGCGTCACCAGGCCCACACTGCCCTGCCGCCCTGCCGCCCCCACATGGGCCTCACCACGTCGTAGTGACCATGTTGCGCCGCTAGGTGCAGGGGGATGTGACCCTCGTCAGATGGGACGTTCACGGCCGACCCTGCCTTCAGCACCAGCTTCATGGGCTCCTTCCGGCCCTGCCAGGCCGCATAGTGCAACGGCCTCATGCCTGGAGGTGGGCAGGGGCTGTTGGGAGCTGACCCCTGACCCCAAGCCCAACCCCGACTTCCAGGACACTGATCCCACAAGGACCCGCCTGAGACCTCCCTCAAAGACCCATCCGACCTGTGGGGAGCCCACCCCTGACCTCAACCCCTGCCCCTGGCCTTGCCTTTGTTGTCCTTGATGTCCACAGCAGCCTGGGCCTCCAGCAGCAGGGTGATCAGTTCCGTGTTGCCGTTCAGGGCCGCGTGGTGCAGAGCAGAGAAGCTGGTGCAGGCAGAGGGCAAGTATGGGAGAGAACCCGGGCATTCCAGCCTTCCCTGGGAACTCTACCCCCGTTCAGGCTGGCAGCACCTGGCTGAAAACTCACCCATCTGGGTCTTGGAAGTTGACGTTGATCTTCTTGGTGGAGCCCAGGAGCTCTGGGGGTGGGAAGAAGACACGGTGAGGGGAGGGCCCACTAGCCCCTCTGAGCATCTTGAGAGCAGGAAGAGGGTGCAGGCTGCCCCCAAGGCCCAGCACTAGCTGGCCTTCGTCTGTAAGCATTCACACATTCATTCATTCAGCTCCGCCCTGCTCTCAGCCTCAGGTGCCAGCTACTTGGGACCTAGCTTCCCACGGCACTGAGATGGGAGGGGGTGTCACAGTACCAAGACAAGGCTGCCCACCCACACAGCACACACATGTACACACGCACCCTCCTGCGGGATGCTGGCTGGGCACCTGCCGATGGTGGGAGGGAGAGAGCCGGTCCAATCTGTCTCTCAGAAGGATCCAGATGGGGCCGGGGGTGGCCAGGGAGGCTGGAACACCCGGAAATGGGGGTATCTCTAGGGGAGGATCTGCATCTCCGCCGTGCAGCCCCTCTGCTGCCAGCCCTGGGCTGCAGCCAGTGTGGATCAGCAGAAGGGGAGGCAGGAGAGCGGGATGGTGCCTTGAAGTGGCCTCACGCAAGTGGCCACCGCGTTCCCCAGGACTCAGACCGGCCGAAGCCCAAGGGCCCAAGCTCTCCCTTCAGGGCCACAGTCTCCTTCTGGGGCCTCCCCTGTCCTGGCCTCCACCAGTCGGCTGCCAGAGGAGGGAAGCCCACCCATGGCCTCCCTGTGGGCTCAAGGCCAAGCGGACTTGGGCCAACCTCCTGCCTGTCTGGGCCATGGTTACATAACCCATTTGTGGGTCAGGCAGTCCGTGAGGGGAAGCTGGCAGGACAGAAGCCCCTTTGTCCAGGCCCAGGACAGGGGTGGGGGCAGGAGTCCAGGGAGAAGAGAACGAGGGTGTCGAGGCACAGAGGCGAGCTTCGTGGTGACCCACAGCAGCCCCGACCGCTCCAGTCTCAGTTGCAACCACCAGACACACAGGGCGCAAGTCTCCTAATAACCCACGAGGCTGACGGGCCCTGAATTCAAATCTCCGCCCTGTCACTTGCTAGCCCTGTGGCCTTGGCCACTGGTCTTCTCCCTGTGCTGGAGAAGGTGGCACTGACAGGCTGCCCCGAGGCATGAGGGCGTTTCCAGACATGAAGCATGCAGGCCCTGGAACGAGTCAGGACTCAGTGAGCAGCAATGACTAACGTTAGCCACACAGGAATCCCACCCCCACCCTCTCCAGCAAGGGGTTTCTCCTGATCCATCTGCCATCTCCTGATCCATCTCCAGCCTGGCTGCCCCTCCCCCAGCTCAAACACTGCTGGTGCCGGGGTCCATCCAGGTTAGCAGCAATGTTACCCTTCCCATCGGTGGCCCAGGCCAGCACCCTGGAGCCCGCCCTGGGGCCTTTCTTGCACACTTACACGTTGTCCACGGGTAAGTGCTGTCAGCTCCACGCTCAAGATACTCTCAGAATCCTGCCCCTTCTCACCATCCCGGCCCGGGCCAGCATCTCTCCCAGGACTGCTACCATCACCAACCCACTGGCATCCCTACTTCTTCCCTGCACCCCTTGGTGTAACCACTGTACCCACTACAGTCAGGGACCCCATCAGACCCTTCTGCTCCTCTCCTGAAGACCCTCCAGCAGCCCCGGGTCTCACAGCAGGGGAGAATGGGGAAAGCTCAGACCAAGCGATGGCTCTGACCTCGCCGCCTGCTCTAGCTGCAGGCCCACCTCGGGTTGGTGATGTTCCACCAACATACAGGCTGCTTGCTGCAGGGCTTTTACAGTTCCTCCCCCAGCTAGCCCCATGACTCTCTCCCTCACGTCCTTCAGGCCTTTATCCAGATGTCACCTGCTCCGCAAGGCCCCCCATCTAAACAGCACTGCCCATCCCACATCAGCCGTACTTTTCTCTGGGGCTCTCATCACCACCTGTCACATCACACCACTGAATCACACCTGTTCACTGTCCACTGCTGGACTACATGCACCAAGAGGACGGGGCTTCCATCGATCTCACTCACTGCTGAACGCTTGGTGGCTGACACGGTGCCCAGTACGTACTAGGTGCTCACAAAATCGGCTCAGCCTGAACTGGTGTCCTTGTCCCACACTTGCCAACCTCATGACGTGTGACCTGTGCCCCTACCCAGCAGGGCCCCGACCCTGGGTGGATGCTCTGCTGCCGCCATCTTGAAATGCTTATTTTTAGACAAGGGGCAAATGATGTAGCCAGGCCATTAGCTTGCCACAGTCCCTTGCCATTAGCTGAAGGGAGTGTGGATGTCACCGTCCCATCACATCTCCTCAGGGTCATGCTCAGGGCATGTGAGTATGAAACATGTATGTTCCCCCAGAACACAGCTCTTACTCTTCCCAGCTCCAGTGGAGACTGTCCTGAGCATCTCCCCAAGACTTCCCAGCCAGGCCCTCTCCTCCCTCCCACAGTGGGGCCTCCTGGGTGGCTGGCTAGCCAGATGCTCTGAGTGCACCCACAGCTGGGTCCACTTGCTCACCCAGTCGCACCTGCAGGGGCCGAAGTTTCAGAGAGGCTGGAGAACAAGGCCCAGAAAGTGACATAGATACTAGCTGGGAGGGGAAGTCTCCATCAGGAAGGGGACCGTCCCACATGAGGAGGATCACGATCTTCCTGAGGTCATCGCATCCTCTCTGTCTTGTGGTCTCCTCAGAGGAAAACAGCTGAAATTGGAGTGGGCCGGCTTGAGGTCTTGGGGCACCCTCCCCCCAACTCCTGTGGGGGAACACTGGGCACCCAGGAAGGTCCCAGAGCTGAAGTGGGTCAGGGTGGGGGGTGGCGTCCACCTGGAAACAGGCTCTCTGGACGAAGCAGGAGCAAAGCATGGCTGGAGAGGATGGGGAGCTGAGCGGAAGGCCCGGGAGCCCCCCTCCCAGAAGCCCCCCCCATGACATCACTAGGTCCTGTGACTGCTCTGCGGTCACAGCACACAGACCTTGCCCCTACCTGCCCTCTCACTGCTCTCCTGATACCGTACCTGCCTTTGGGGTCAGGGCCAAGCTCCAGGTTGGAAGGGAGCTATTAGTGGACCAAGGTGAGAGAGTGGCAGGGCCCTGGCCCTCGGTTCTCAGGCAATGTCTCCAGACTGGCCTCAGGCTGCCTCCAGGGAAGTGGGGGGCAGCCTCTGCCCTGGCATCTTCCCTCCAGAGCAGGTAGGCTCTTCTTCCCCTCAAGGACAACTGCTGAGCGGGCACACATGCACATGTGCGTGTACCTGTGCATGTGAGTGCAAGGGGAAGCTCACTCCAGGGTGAGGTATTTTGTGGGCTGACAGAGCTAGGGTGATCCTGGAGCAGCGGGGTGGGGGAAGGGGTCAGGCGCTGGGAGGCAACCAGGAAAGCAAGGATCCTGGGGATACCTCTGGGCTCAGGGGGCCCTAGGGGACACTGCTAGATGCCCCCCACCTCGTGGCCCCCACTCCAGCTGTACTTTGCTGAATCAAAATACATCTTACTCCAAAGCAGGCCAGCGTTGCCATGGTGACTGTGCTAATGCATGGAGGGATTTCTCTGATTTATTACTCCCATTCCTGTGAATCAGAGAGCAGAGATTCGGGGGCCAGGACAGGTGTCTCTCCTGCCCCAGCGGCCAGACCAGGCACCGTTAGCGGCACAGTCCCAGGTAAGGGTGGGGCCCCCATGCCTTCCCCGGAATGACCAGAAGAGAAGGCAAGAAGAGGTCCCACTTCCCTGGACTCAGTCTGGGGTATCCAAGGGGGAGGCCGTAGTTGGCATTTCCTGAGTACTAATGGATGGCCAGGCTTCACGAACAGGATCTCACTGTCCTCACAACACTGCTGTGAAGCAAACATCCCATCCTACAGATGGGGAGACTGAGGCCCGAGGGCTGGAGCTGTGTGCATCCAAGGCCACACGACCACTAGGTGGAAGCCTTTACCTTGCCTTCCATCTCTGGGTTCCTCCACCTGCTTTGAGGCTCCCCTGAGGCTGCCTCTGCCAAGTAGCCCATCCCTTTCGGAGCCTCAGGCCCTGAGGCCAGCCCGGGCCGGCCTGCCTGTGTGCCTGCAAGGCACCCGTGCCCCTCTCTTATTGCACAGAGTCGGCAGGTACTGCAGGGGGGTGGTCCCCCGGCTTCCAGGACATCCCCCCCACCAGCCAGTCCCAGGTCTCAATGTCCCCCTGGAGGAAGGCAAGAGGGCCTCCCTGGCTCACGCAGTCTGTGGGGGTGAAGAGGGGAGTGAGGGCACCCAGACCCCACATGCCGACTTGCAGAGCCCTGCCCGTGTCCACACAGGTGCCCTGACACACTGGCACGGCCAGACGTGCGCAGCCGCACACACTGCTGGTCCACACGCCCATGCATCCCTCCCTGGCAGCCCCCAGGGAGGCCCCTGGCTGAGCCGGGATGAGTGCTGGGATCAGGGCTCCAAGCTCCCAGCCCTTCCCTGGGGCCCCCACAGCAAAGCCAGGTTTGGCCCGCGGGGTCCCGCACTCCCTCGCGGCCCCCTTTCCCCACTGGACCGCCGAGAGAACAGTCTGTTGGAGCCCGCCCAAGCAGTGGGCCGCAGCCCTTGCCTTCAGATTGCCCCTGTCGGGGCCCAGCCTGCTCTGGGCTGGGCGACCTTGGGCCTCTGCTCCCCTATCAGCAGATGGCCCCCCACCGGCCGTGTAGGGCAGCCACACCCCCAGCGTGGTCCTGCCCCACCTTCTCTGCAAACCGTGTTATTAAACATGGGACAGGGAGGGGCTGTCAGCCCCAGGGTCGCCCCTCGCGGCAAGGGTCCCCTCCCTCTCCGCTGGTGTGTGTCGGGGGCATCCGCCTCGCCCTCTAAGGGCCCCAGCACAGACCTCCA